GACACCTTTTTTAAGAAAAAAGAGATCATCAGTTTAATTGACAAAGCTTTTCAATTCTTTCATCCAATATTTTACAAGAAAAATCTAGAATTCACAAACATTGTTGAGTAACAAAAACTCCTTTCGTTTATATTTCATATACTACAAGAATGTAGGAAATCATTATTTGAATTACTTAAGACAAACTTTTTTGTCCCTATTAACATCGTTTTTTGAGTGTTTTTTGTCTCACTCCGAATGATGAAAATATCGAACGTCTTGCTTATTTTCATACGTTTCAGTATTCTCAGAAAAATTCAAGCCTGAAAATTAAAAAAAGACATGATTTCAATACAAGAATATCATATACAAGTGTAAACAAGTTACACATTTTCATATATGTATGCAAAATCAATCTGTCGAATGAATTAAAGAACAATAATGTATAAAATTCCCCTCTTTTTGTAAAAGGTTTATAAAAGGTCCTTCCAACTCTTCGGAAAGGACCAAGGAGCATGCCAGATCCTTAGCTAAAATTCCTTTGAATATCCAACACTCTTTGAAGTACTTGGAAATTACATTAACATTAGATCCAAGTACTCCTATGCGTATAAGATTCCCTGTAGAAATTGCGATATTTTATATATCAGATAAATTAGATTTTTAAAAATATTACTATCAGAACATCGGAATCATATTAATCAAAATACAGCACAGCATTCTGTCATTACGGACTACAAATTGATTAACAGATTTACATGGGAAATTGTGAAAATAATTGGATAAGAAATTTATTCATAGAAACCCATCCATGGAAATCCGTGGAAATATCTGATTGATATCAGAAATGGAGATTGATATCAGAATTAGGAGATAAAAACAACTTGAAGTTCGAGAATGATATAGAAAATCTGTCCACGCTCATCTCGCTTTTTGAAGAATTTATTGGAAGTTTTAATTTGACGATCAATATAATTGATGTTATTTCAACTCATAATAAAATTTATAGCATTGCTCAAGATTATGTATATGTTACAATTAAAACCCGAGATCTAGCAAAACTTTAATTTACGACAAGAGAATGAATTAGAATTTAAAATGTATGTCAGTTAACCTTTATCAGTTTGAGCCACAGTAATTCTGTTCAAGAATATTACATTAAATGTGGGGTTTCCTAAAGTGATGCGCGCGTGCACACGCACACGCTGACGCATGCGCGCACACACACGCACACGCGCACACACGCACGCACGCGCACGCATAGATGTCATTTCAAACATCTCTCTCAATGTGACTTTTTCCTTTTTTTATTTTTTTTATATAGGAAAGTGGACATCCTTTGACTGGGGAAGAGTCGAAGGGTAGTGTTAAACTCTTAACAGCAAAAACTCCGCGGATATCTTACTCAGCCTCCGTTTGCGCGGGATGTCAGCATGAGTTGCATCACTTCGGGACATCTTGCATTCAATGCAACATAATTAAACAGAATTGCAGCAGCTCAAATTGATAAAGCTAGCAAATACACATTTTAAATTACGTGTCATTAAAAAAACTAATTTTTTCAAATTAATACAATTAAAAAAAATTATTGTATTGAGTATCCGAAGAAGGCAACGGAAAACTACTTCGGATAACATTTCCTAGGAAATCACTATGGCGAGAAATCAAGCAATGGCTCTCAGTTCCGGACAGCTCTTTAATGGGCAGGGGTTACGAAGAATCTCCCGGCTCAGAATAGTGAAATCCAATCTACGCGTGACCACGTGGAACATCAGGAGTCTTTTCGCGGCTGGAAAGCTGGAAAATGCAGTGATGGAGATGAAGAAATTGAAGATCTAATTTATGGAGATAAATGAGTTGAGATGGCCCGGAGCAGGCGTATGCCCTCAGGAAGAAGGGACCCTGTACTACTCTGGGAGCGCGGCAAATGACCGACATCACAGGAACGGAGTGGAGATCCTCGTCGACTCGAAATTCGTAAAGTACGTAAAGAGCTTAGTGCCTGTTTTAAACAGGATCATGCTTCTTTAGCTTCATAGACACTCTTCCAACATTAATCTTATGCAGATCTGCGCGCCTACATCAGAGAGAGCAAGTATGACAAAGAGATTGAGATGATGTATGAATCGGTCAGGGATCTGCTTAGAAGTCTATATGATCACAGCATCAACTTGATCATGGGGGATTTTAATGCCAAATTGGACAGGGCAGAAGATCGGATCTGGTTGGAGAGTTTGATTTGGGGCAGTGCAATGAGAGAGGGGACAGATTCTTCGAATTTTGCTAGGAAACAGAGATGGTGTTAACCAATACATGGTTCAAGCTGCCAAAACGTCGCCTATACACATGGAAATCACCTCTCGACTGCAGCGGGTTCCGGACCGATAAGGAATCCGATCGACTACATACTGATAAACAAACTCTTCAGAAACACCATAAAAAGAGTCACAACCTACCCTGGGGCAGACACTGGCTCGGACTACAATCCATTTGTGGCCGACAAGGCGCTAACCTTAAAAAGGAATAAAAGGAAACCTGCTGTCAAGAGGATCGATGTTTCGAGATTGAGCGCGGATGACGTGAGAGAAGGGTTAGGGAGGATCTCAACAGCGGGTTGAACTAAATACATACGGATTCCAATAACAATATTGTTGATGTAGACTGTCGGTGGAACGAATTTAAACGTGTGGTCCTGGATGCCGGTGCCAGACACTCGAGCCCATCTCCGACCACCAAAAAGAAAGCATGGTTAACGGAGGATATCTTGACCTTGATGAAGACGTCGATTACTTAAGAATAAGTCGGTAGAGTACAAGAGGATGCAAAACTTGATAAGAAAGAAAATCAAGGCAACAAAACAACGATGAATGAGCGAAAAATGTAGAGAAATGGAAGATTTTATTTCAAAACACGACTCATTCAAAATCCACAACAAAGTGAAGGAGGTGGTCGGACTTTACAAAAGGCGATCGCCCATGACAATAACAAACGAAGCAAACAAGATCATACTAGAGGAAAGCGAGATCAAAAGCGTGTAACAGAAGTACATAGCCAAGCTATTTGGGGACAACAGGACGGAGGTAGAAATCGACCCAGACAACCTTGAAGACCCTGAAATTCTTAAGTCGGAGATACTGCATGCCATTTCAATAGTCAGCAACAGGAGGGCCCACCCGGACCAGATGAGATTCCAATAAAGTCGATTAAACTTATAAACGAGGATAACGTAGACATAATCCTAAAACTATTCAACCAAATCTACAACTCAGGAGAGCTTCCCGAGGAGTGACTGAGGTCAATTTTTATAACTATTTCGAAGAAGTAACATCCGAGAAAATATGTAGATTACTGGCTAAAAAGTCTCATGAGCCATACGTTGAAAACTTTTCTCCGTGTTATCCATGCTCAAATCAGATCGAGATGTGAGCAGGACCTGGATGACACGCAATTCGGGTTCAGGAGTGCCTTCAGGATGCGAGAAGCACTCTTTGGCTTCAGTGTCTTTCTGCAAAAGTGCCGAAACCTTTACCGGGATGTATTTGCGTGTTTCATAGACTATGAGAAAACATTCGATCGAGTACATACATCCATATTAGGCTCATCGAGCTTTTACAGGAGGTCGGAATCGATGATAAAGACGTTCGAATAATCAAGAACCTGTACTGACGACAGAGTGCAAAGATAAAAATTGGCAACTCTACAACTTCCGGAATGGGCATACGGAGAAGTTAGGCAGAAATGTATCTTGTGTCCCCTTTTGTTTAATCTTTACGCGGATAGAATCTTTAAGTAGACCATATGTGACTTGGATCTCGGAATCAAGGTAAACGGAGTACGAATCAACACGCTCAAATACGCTGATGACACGGTCATCTTGGCTAAAAACATTGCGAATCTCCAGCTACTCCTTAACAGAATCTTTGAATCCGGTCTCAGAGCAAGGCTAAATATCAACGTGAATAAAACAAAGCTGATTTTCAGTCGGCAGAGCCATGACTCTGCGTCTCTGCAACTTGGTGTAGGGCGGGTCACTTCGTTCAGGTATCTGGGCTGTTTGATCACCGAGAGTTTGGATCCGGACCGTGAGATTAATCGTAAAATAGAATATGCTCACGCCATTTTTAATAAAATGAGATCCTTTTTTTGCAATGATAATTTGAGCTTAAAGCTTTGCCAGAGGATGGTCAAGTGCTACGTTTGGACCGTTCTCTTGTATAGAATTGAGGCGTGGACACTTAAAATAGGCAATGAACCGCTTGGAGGCCTTTGATTGGGAGATGTGGTTAAACAGACGAATGCTCAGGATCTCCTGAGTTGACAAAGTGTCTAATAAAGAAGTACTGCGAAAAACGCGCACGAAACGCCCGGGAAAAAATGAATTATATCTAAGTAGATCTATTACGGTTAGATCTAAATGTTGGAATAGATGTAAAGATCTATTTAGATGTACAAAGATCTATTTAGATGTAAAAAGATCTATTTAGACCTTTTTGGGTCGAAATAGATCTGTTTAGATCTAAACAGATTGATGTATATTTAATAATAAATGTCAAAAAATTATATTTATTTCATTAATGGCCAGTTTTTTCATCTCCGGTTACAATTATCGGCCGTATAAGTTCTATTTCTATTTCTATCTTATTTCTTATTAAAATAAAAATAGAAATAGATCTCATCTGGCAGATAACTTAAATCGAAGGTGAAGAAACTGGCCATAAATCTAAAAGTTATAGATATATAAAAAACCAAACTTTTGTAGATCTCGGTAGAAAGGTTCCAATAAGAGTTTTGTCATTATAATCTTTATTTATATTATTATAATATATGTATAATCTTTAAAACAATTTATCACATAAAATAAAATAAGTATTAGAGTAACTTCGTATTCTAAATTTTTATACAATACTCCATAACTTTTTAATTTAATAAAAAAAAATAATAATAAAATAAATATAAAAATAAAAACAAATAATCACAATATTAAACAATAATTATTTGTAAAAAGTTTTAAAGTTATACAATCAGTCTCTTTGTTTTAATTGCGTAGATCTTAATTTTGCACTCAATGCACGTTTTATTTCTGTATTACTTGGTATTTTCCAATTTTGCCTTGTCCCGAAACTTTTAGCATAATCTGTAGAAAAAAACAATAATTTAGAATTGTATTAAAATTATGAAATTCTCATATTATTGTCATTATTATTATTATAAACAATATATCTAATAATAATTATTATACTTAATAATTATTAAGTATAATAATTATTATAATCTTATTACATATATAATAAAAAACCCAGATAGCACAACTGTTCAAAAAAAGAAAATGTATTTGTATGTCACCAATTTGAGTGCCGTTTTAAATGCATATAGAATTTATTTTATAAAACATTCTATATGAATTTGATAAGCAACTCAGATTTGATGGCACATATAAATAAAATTTATTTGAATTATTTTTTAACAGCTATCTGAGGACATTGCACCAAAACACGTTTGTTTACATTTTAGTTATTATAATATTATTATAATTAATTATTATAACTATTATTTTAATTGTTTATATTATTATTATCATTTTTTTAATTACCGATAATAGCTTTTACTGTTTTTGAATCAAAACAATCATATTGTTTGTGCTGTCTTTCCTTCCCCTGAGCCCGGGGAGCTTGTCCGGTAAAAGTGAAATTTGTAATTTGTTCCGGATTAAAGACACCGTCCATAAGACGACGAACTACACTAGTGACTTTACTAGCAGAAAAAATTGTCATAATTAATATTCGTCTTATGCAATAAATTTTACTACGCTTATCAAGTAGTACCATCTGAAACAATATTAGATACATAATAAAATTATTAACATATAAAAACATTAATAACATATATAAACATGATAAAAACATTTTAATAAACATTAATTAATTAATTAATTATCACAATAAAAATAACTTTTAAATTATTACTTTTTCATCCCACTCTTTTCCATAGAGTTGATATAAATTGTCAATTTTAAATTCTAATTCATCCTTTGATCGCTCACTATACATTTCTTCCTCATCCTCATTTTCTGTTAAATCTTCACTGCTAGACGTGTCATTTTGTTGAGCAGTTAGTGTATTGCGATTAGAGTTACTTCTTTCCTCTTTATCAATTAAATTATCATTTGTAGACAATTCAACGTTCTGCTGAGTACAAGTCTCGTCTTGCGAAGAGCAGTCTTTTTGACAAGACTTATTTTTTGTAGCAGCCTCAAACGTTAGTAGTGAACCAGCCGAAGTTGAAGCAAGTAGTTCTTCAGAACGTAATATATTTCGAATATCCTTAAAGATATTCAAATCTTTATATACGGCGATGTTTAAAATCATTCTAAGTAAAACAATTACACATTATAGTTTTTATTAAAAACAATGTTTTTAAATAAATTAACTTGTTGTTAGAGTTAGTTAATAATTAACGTGTAGTTAGTTAAATTATAAACATTACATGTATCATAAATTTTACATTATATATTAACCTGTTTGCTTAATTAAATAATTATTTTAAAAATTAAACTATTATTGTTTAAACTTAAAAATTAAACTATTATTATTATTATCTTGTAATATTTTAAGAAACATTTTAAATTTGACATTTAAATGTTTAGATGTTTTAGTTTTTTAAAATTAATTTATGTGTGTAAACAGCTTAATAAGTTTTATTTTATATTGTGTGTGTGTGTGTGTGTGTGTGTGTGTGTGTGTGTCTATGTATATACATATATATTTATTATTTTATAATATACTAATAAAATAATATAACTTGTAAAAAATAGACTGTTTATACCTTTTTTGTAATATATAATGGTAAATTATTTTCTTCTTCAGGAGAAGTTGACTCATCGTCAGCTTTAGGAGTCTTTTGTTGTGTAAAGTTTTCAGTTTCTTTGAGTAATTTATCAATCTGGTCTTCAAATCTAGTATTTCTTTTTGATTCTGATTTTGTAACATTTTTTTCTAGAATTGTTTGTACAAATATAAATATAAAAAGGTAATATTATTCGTTATTAGTTGAATAAATAATTTATTTATTAATTGTATTTTGAACAAAATTAAGAAAATACATCTTTTTTTAAATTTAACAAATATTTTATATGATGGAATTGTATGAAAGAATAATGCTTTGAATAATTCTTCAAATAATTGCTAATTAATATAAAGTTTGTTTAAATAAAATTAAATATATATATGTATGTATGTGTATGTATATATATATATATATATTTTTTTTTTTTTTTTTAATTTAATTTAAACAAAATGTATATTAATTATAGCAATTATTTGAAGAATTATTCAAAACATATATATCTATTTATATTTATATATATGTATATTATAGAGATTTACCTTTCTTTTTTCATTAACATTTTTGTTAATACTTTCTGAAATGTTTTCAGTAGAAGAAAATTTTTTTGGTTTTTTTATTTACCGTTTTTTTGAAAGTATATTGTTAGCATTCTTTCTTTTCTTCTCATTAATTTCTAACTCTTGAATACGATGTCTCTTTTCTTTTAATACTGATTCATTGTCTGAAATATAGTTTTAAGGTTAGGTTATTTAAGTATATGTAAATTTTAACACAATTTTATAACATTTCGAAAATTATTTGTACCTGATATCATAATAATGACACCTTCGTATCATAATCTAAAAGTTACTGTATCACCTTCTTTAACGGTGTCATAATCACAAAAGACATTTTGATTATCTACGATGCATAAAGATTTATCTTCAATACACTTAATTAAAAACATCGCGTTATTGTTATTGTTAAAATTACACACTATAAGTGAAAAAAAGTTGTTCGTAACAAAGGCAAAAATAACCGATATACGTGATATAACGTGATAGCAACGAGGCAACTTCACCATTTTGCTTTTCTGGTAATATTAAAGCCTTGTGTCCACGATTCTAGAACTTCGATCGAGTTCTCGAAAACTGTAGCTAATCAACTTGAAGCTTTTACAGAAAAACGATAATTTTATATTTTAATCATTACATTACATGATGCAATCTAATGAGATCAAAAGAAGAAATGTTTTGATTGGTTTAACTTGTGACGCGACGCGTGACGCGCTCAGTGCGAACTCAGCCTGAGTTCTAATCCGAGCGTGGTTGAGGTCGTTAGTTCGCGCCTAGCCATATCCCAATGTCCCAATGTATCTCGGTACGGAGAGTCGTGCCTCAGATGTAACAATATTCTTTTATTAAGATAAAAATATTAAAAGGAAATAAAAAGAATAAAGATTAAAGGAAGTGAATATTTCGATTAAGGCTACTACGGTGCCGATATAATCACTAAAATATATCCACCGTGAGTATGTCGCTAGATATTAACCCCTTTGAAAGGCACATTTGAAGGCATATTAAACTCCGAGAAAAAATGTTCAATGGCAAATACAGTTTTTGTACATATTTTTCAAAAAACATGTGGTTTTATTTATTAATATATAATTATTGTACGACAATTTTAATAAATAATGAATCTAAAATAATAAACAATAAATTTTTAGTATTTTATTATATATTTAAAATATTAATGAAAATGTAAATAAAGTGTAGAAAAGAATAATATATAAATAAAAAGTTTGCTTTATTATTTTAGAAAACTACTGAAACACAATAAAATAAAAATGTCATCTGATGAAGATAATTATAAACTATTTGTTACAAAAAGAAGAAAGTATAAACTATGGAAAGATGATCCATATATATTGGTAATTGCACTTATCATATTAGTACTTTATAATAGACAATTTATGGATGTTTACCATTTGAGAACACAAATTGACACAAGCATCATTTTGTCTTTGTTCAATATTCAAAAATAACAAGAATAGAATGATGTTTAGGTCGACTTGTGTCGTTAAATATAAAGCACCAAATATGTACAGGGTTAAACAAATAAACGATGATAAAGAAGCTAGAAAATGACAATACAACTATATTTTATTTTTGAAGTACCGCATAATTAAAAAATTGTTTTACAATAAAAATTAACATGTTATTGTATCATATATATATATATATATATATATATATATATATTTACATGTTTTGCTAAAAATATAAATATTTTATTATTTATAACGCTTTAATCAAAATATATTATTATAGAGATTTTACACTGCTTTTTTTATTGACAGTTTTGTTATCAATATATTTGTTTAATACACAAATTCTACAATTTTTTGTGCAAAAAATGTAGCGCCCGTCTTAGGTATAACATAAAAGAATATAAGTAAACGTTTTGAAGTAAGCTTTTAAACACATATTGATTATAACCAAACTGTCGCCAAACAGTATTTTAGGATCCCTTTGAATTTTATCTACAATATTAAAATTTATAAAATAAATTAATAAAAGGTTATTATTGTAATTAAAACTTTTTTCTTCTTTAGATTCCATCTACTACGATACATCGATGGGGAAAAATTTTAAAAAGCTTCGAACAATTAGTTCTGTTGATAACAAAACAAAAGAAATATTCTCCAATTCTTCTTCTAACAGTGATGAAAGCCGTTGTGAAAGCAGTTTAGAATCAACAAATTGCAATATTGAAGATGAAGTTGAAGATTTTTTGTGTAACTTTAACGATAAAATTGAAGAATCACTAGATTCCATTAATGAAGATATTGAGATAAATAATCAGGATAAAAATCTTTTAGAAAAATATATTAGTGACCATAATAGTCTTCATAATCCTCTAGGTATAGTCGTTTCTAATTTATTGTATGATAATAGCCAAACTACTATCTATCGAAGTTTTAACTATTATGAATTTTTATATTCGACACAAACTTACCAGAGCAGCTCTTACAGAATTATTAAAAATATTGCAAGTATTACTTCCTGAGACTAATAGCATGCCAAAAACCAATTTTCACTTATTTCGAATAATTGATAAGACAGTACCACCTTGCAATTTTATCAAACATTATTATTGTAAAAATTGTTTATTTTACAATAATACTAATCCTGTAATGGAAGCATGTTTATCATGTTCAAGTACGGAAAAAAAATTTTTTTTTAATTAGATATAATTGATCAAATAAAGTACTTATTCGAAAACAGAAATCTCTCTGATAAATTACATGTTGCTTATAACAAAACAAATATTAATAATATCCGATATCACTGATGGATCAGAATATAAGAGTTAATTTAAGGAATGATAGAGGTCCATATGATTTAACTTTGATACTTAATACTGACGGACTTTCCTTATCCAAAAGCTCTAAAAGTCATTGCTGGCCGCTTATGTTCACAATTGCAGAACTTCCAGAATATTTGAGAGAAGTATTTATAATTATTATAGGTATTTGGTATGACAAAGATCAAAAGCCAGCAATGAATACTTTTCTTCACCCTTTTTGTAAAAAGTTTATTACTTGTTTTCATAAAGGAATTACTTGGACTCATTCTAAAACAAATGATGTTTGTGTTTCAAAAATTGTTGCACCTCTGTTTATAGCAGATGCATCTGCTAGAGCTCAAATTCTGAATATAGTTAATTTTAACGGTAAATTTGGTTGCAACATTTGTGAAATAAAAACTAAACGTTCTATAAGATTTCAAGGGAAAAGAATATGTCAAAATGTCAGTGGAGTGTAACAAAATATATTCAAGAGATTGATGACTTTTTAAAAAACGTTCAACCTCCGCATTTTTTTAATAGAATGCCTCGATGTCTTTCAGATTATAAACTTTATAAAGCATCTGAATTTTATAATTTTTTATTGTTTTATTCGATTCCAACACTTGTCAATCGTTTACCGGAAATGTATCTTCAACATTGGTTGTTATTAGTTATATCATTATTTAATTTATTGGAAAAAGACATTCCTATTAATCCACAATTAGAAGAAACAGAAGTATTATTGAAATTATTTGTAAAAGATGTTAGAAGGTTGTATGGAGACAGGGCTTACACTTACAATATTCATCAATTACTACACTTATTGTTAGTATTATCCGTGAAGAGATGGGGTCCTTTATGAGCCATCTGCTTTTCTATTTGAAAATTATAATAATTTTATTGCTAATTGCGTTCATGGGACTAAACATCTTGGTCAAGAGATGGTTAATAATATAAGAAGAGCTCAAGCTGTACAAAGTTTGAAATTCCAATATGAATATGATAAACATACTTCCCATAATACTGATCAAATGTTTGAAAACTATCAATTTTTTAATGTAGTAAAAACTGTACAATGTAAAAGCGATACAGAAATTAAGTTGATTGAATCATTACGTTTACGTTTTAAAGATCTAACTTTTTATATAAGAGCTAAAATAAATAATCAACTTTATACTTCCAAAATGTACAAAACTATAAGAACTAATAGTTATACAGTTCAAGTAAATATTAACGATAATATAGTATATAGTATTGTAGGATTGTTAACTCTATGCGTTGTTAATCATATGTTATTATAATTTGATGTATACGCGCATTTAGATAATATAATATGCGAGTCTTTCGAGGATTTGGGTTTTCGTCAGCTCGAATTCCTTTGTAGAAAAACAAGAGTGGGGACGGGATCAGCTGAGCGGCTGAGCGACTTGTAAGAGAGACGAGAGGCAGTCCGCTATAAGCCTCGAAAGGAGAAACAAATAAAATTACAAACCTTGATTCTCTAAATATTTGTGCAGAATATATCTTATCTCCAATACCGAATCCTACAGTATTATTCGATATTTTTTAAAAATATAAAATGATATGTGTTTTATACTGCATTGCTTTAGTGTTCAACACAAAAATATTTGTTCATGAAAAAACAGATACAAAAGTAAAACATAAATTGCCTATTAAAGAGGAAGATACATTTGTTTTTATAAACGTAAAAGACATAAAATTTATATCTCATGTAATAAGGATCGGTAATTATATTTGTAAGCGTCCAAACGAATTAAAAAAAAACTATGTAAACGCATTATTATTTTTTATTATATTAATTTTTACCCCTCCTTATTAAACAAGTTTAAAATTTGTGGTACATATTTCTCAGTACAATAATTTAATACAATAAATAAATACAATATAATATTTTTTTCTTGTTTTATATTTTTAGTTTCTAAATATAAAGTGCACATAAAACATAAGTACATATGTATATATTAAGTATATATTATGTTGTATTTATTGAAAACAAATGTATATGTAAAAATTCACAAAAGTATATTCATTATGCACTATAATTGCTACGCGTATGATTGCACACAAATTACAAAGTAATATAATTTTAATGACAAATATATTGGAACATTTTACGGAAATATTGGAATATTATTAAATTAGAGAGAGAGAGAGAGAGAGAGAGAGAGAGAGAGAGAGAGAGATCAAATTACTATGTTACATCTATATAGACCTACTTTGATACACTTAGATACACTGAGATATATCTATGTAGATCCCCTTCGATACATTTAGATATATTTCGATACACTTAGATACACTTAGATCTACTACTGATAAGCATGTATATCAATTTAGATCTACGTGGATGTAAATACATCTATGTACATCTACACTGGCAGAGCTATCTAAATCTCCAAAGATCATTTTAGCTTTCAATATACGTATATAGATTTATTTAGATCCATTGATAGATATCTATTTGTATTTACATAGATCTACATTGATAGATCTATTTAAATATGCTTACATCTAACCAGATATGTTTACATCTAAGTAGATTTAAAATTCCATTTTATAGATCTAACGCGATTTAATTAGATATAATTAGATATATTCTATTTTTTCTCGGGCGTGAACTGCTAACAACCATCAAATGCAGGAAGATTGCTTATCTCAATGCATGTCTTGAGGGGTGAGAAATACCATCTATTACAATTGATTCTGAAGAATCGAAGGCCGACGAGGGATAGGAAGGAAGCAGCTATTTTGGCTGAGGAACATCAGGGCGTGGACCGGGATTCGAGGCGTGGAGGAACTCTCTCGTATGGCGGAAGACAGAGATGCAGTCATTATGATAATCGCCGACGTCCGGGAGACCGGACATGGCCCATGAAGAAGAAGTATTGAGTTCTGCTGAAACGCATTTTAAAGAGAAAAATTTGAATTTTTACGCACTTTTTATCAGTTGTGCTATACTCTCAACTGATTCGCTCTGTGCAATCCAGGAAAGTGGATTTTCTATTTATTAGTTTTGAAGTTCTCATTCTGTCATTTGTCATTACAATTTATCATTCCACGTAAGC